AATAATACATTAATAAGTTGAAGTTATGTAAAAAATAACAATTATCTTGGATTCATGAAGAATTCAGACTAGCTTATTTAGATAGCAATGAGACCGTAATTTTAAGTTGCTCCCCACAAAACCAAGTCCCCTCCTTCACGTCTTATGAATTAATACCTCACATATACCTCCATCCCTTAGAATGTTGTACTCCAACTTCAAAATTCTCCTTCTAGCTTTGAAGTATAGCAACTAAGAAACTTCAAGAAAATGGGGAGCAACTTGACAAGCCCTCTACACTTTTGGGCAATTTGGATGGGTGTATTTGTTGCAATCTTGGATTGCATTTTGAATAGATGAAATAGCTAAATACTAAAGACACTCTATTTCATGGAGGATGATGATGGAATATGGAAGTACAATAAGATAGGACTAAATGAATTATTACAAGTTTTGGGAGGTGTGGCTTTAACAAAGTTAGAATGTGGCTTTAACAACTTCTTCAATATATAGATAGATAGATAGATAGATAGATAGATAGATAGATAGATAAAATGGTAGAGATTATTGATTTAACTTCCAATTCATAAAAAATATAGTTTTAATAGAAAATACATTATATTAAATACAAAAAAAACAACTAAAAATATTTATATTTCATTCTTTATATATATATATATATATATGAGAAATGAAATATATATAAAGAGTTAAATAGTCATATCATATTTAAGATTAAAACATGCTCAAATATCTCATTGTATGACACAAATTATTTATTGATTTTTTTAAATTTATTATTTATACCAAAATATAATTTTGCAAAGTATTTTAAAATATTAAACTTCAAGAATATAATTTCTATAATACATGTTATAAAACATATATAATATGTACCTAAATTTTAGTCATTTAATTAAATTAAGAAATATATAAAATATATTGTAAAATTTTATGTATTCCAAATATATTATTAATTAATTAATTAATTAAAAAAATAAAAACAAATAAAAATAACAACAACTATATTAGAACTTAATGAGATAATAAAATGATTCTACCAAAATACAACTAAGCTCACTTATCACACGATAAACAAGTTTCAAGAGAGAAGTAGATCAACCTTTTACAAATATCTATACTATTTTCAATGTTAAAGTTTTGTATTCTAAGATTTTACTGCCTTGTTGTAGAAATCGAAACAAACATAAATAAATTATAGCTGTTATTTCAGTGAAAACTTCACTTGCACTGCATGTTTTGCACATAAGAATTCGAGAGAAAACAATCGTGGTGAGTCGTTGAATGATGGAATACTGCGTACCTTCAAGTGATGATCTCCACCGGAGGAAGATGGCCTCCGCAATCCCCACTGACATTTCGCTATCACCTGCGGTTTCACATTCGAAATTCTTACATGGAAATCAGTTTGCAAATTCAAACATGCAGTACGTTCCGTCTAAAATCCACGCTACACCCGCTAAAGTGAGGTGGTGAACCTGCACAGGATGCTGCAAAAAACCATGTGACATTTCTATCTCGATCTCGCAGAATTGCCAAGTTTTCAAGATAGATTTTGAACGTGAGGGATGTGCCAGAGCCTTGAGAGCATACCGTTACCCTCCCAAACTGTCTTGATTCCCGTGAGAATGACCTGCGTGGAGAATACGGAAAGTTCTTGATGTTTGTGAGAAGAAAGCGAAAGAGACATGCCTAGGCAAAGACTGGGATAAAAAGACGTTTCTCCGAGGAAAGTACTTCGTGGTGCTATGACGGGCTCCAGAGCAAAGTCTGCTGCCCTGTGGACATCGGTGATGTTTCCATGGTTTCGATGGCTGGCTCGATGGCAGCCTGAGTGGCAGTCACTTTGTTCTGTAAGTTCTTGAGCAGAAAGGGGCACTACTCTCAAAGCCAATTCGTGCAAAATTGAACACCATGTTCTGAATTGAAGGTGAAATTTGTTTCAATTTTTTAACTCTCCAGACAGATTCGACGGTGGCAGAGAGCTCTCTGCGGTGACGTGCACTCGCAGCATCACCGCTTTAATGCATTTCATCTGCAGATCTCTACAGTTGCCCTCGCACATCCAATATTTAATAATATTCTTGAAGCGTTTACAACCCGAGCCAAACTCACGACCAGATATTTGCGCAAGCGGCATGAAATTTCCCCTACGACGGACACACACCATGACGCTCCTCCTTGGAAGTCATCCTCCTCGGTCGCCACAAACCAAACTCCCAACCTCATCATGAATGTATTTCGTTCGACTCTGTTGAGATCGACTGAAAGCTGCGGGTTCATCGGATCCTGGTTGCCATTGCGGCGTAGAAACGAATCACGGGCTTGTCATAAAAAATCGAGCTCGTTTGCGACTGCGCGATGGTCGCAGGCGTCGTCAGTGTCTGAAGAATTACATCGCGAAGTCCATATTTATCGAGCACATTATGAACATTAACTGTGGTGTCTGAGATCCCGATTTAGAGCTTCGATCGGATCGGAGATTCCTCACCGTCATGCCTTCCAGAATCCAGACTGTCGCAATCCAAGTGCCCGCCACCGCCTCTCGGTCTGCTGACTCAGCCCTAAGTACAGGTAAGCAGAGCTCTGGCTGCGCCAACTCCGATTTTCGGCAGTCGGGCCAAATGGTGGACCACGAAAGTCGCGGGAAACGGGTGGTGAACGCGTTCCCATCGTATATGGAACGTGATGGAGAAGGGAGTATCATCCCAGCACTTTCATTCTTTCACGTCATGCATCCATAAAAGTAACTTTTCCTCTCCAAAAGTTGATAACTGTATGTGCTTACTTTTCAAGGGTTCATTGTGTGAAAAAGTTTTGTTGTTGCAAAAAGGTTCATTCTTAAGGTTCAATGTTGGTGTTGAGTTAGTTTTTTTCTACTTAAACCCTGTTGCATGCTGTTATATTATTTTGTTTTTTATATCAAAAAGTGATCGTGATATGGTAAATGTATGATACATTTTTGTTAAGTATTTTAACTTGGAAGGGATTCATTGTTCAAGTCCCTTACTTCCACTTATAATGTATTATTCATAGTTATTTTGAAATTTTTAATAAAACATGTTTTAGTTTGGGCACTTGTGATATTTAAACTAATGCAAGGATGTTGATTTGAAAGGAGTAAGAAATTTAAAAGCTCTCACATGCTTACTGGTGTGTTTGATCTTTGTTTACATTGGATCTCTCTCTCTCTCTCTCTCTCTCTCTCTCTCTCTATATATATATATATATATAATACTCAAAATGTATTTTAGAAGAGAGCTATGGAGGATCCTTTTCTTTCATGTGATGAGTCTTATCATATTGCAAAAGGAAGGAACAAAAACAATACTTATCAGTTGTAGCATAATTTAGGTAACAATATTTTACTCGCTTCATTACAAAAATTGGCTTAAAAAGAAATGGTCACATTGGTTTTCATCCAAATTAATTTCAAGCAAAAATATAAGCATAGTCAGTTTTTTTTCAAATAATATTTTTAAATTATAAGTCATGATACAATTATGTAAATATTTCACATATAATATATTCTCATGCAATGACTCATTGTATTTTTTTTTTAAATTAATCAAATTTTATAATATAATAGTCACTCCTAGAAGAAAAATACTTTTACTTTGTTTAAGATGGTAATATAAAATTCCTTTATACACGATTTAGCACAACTGAAACGTCAAACTCGAGCTATAAAAAACAATGTATTAAATTGTGAATTGAAAAACTATCAACAACCATTTTAGTGTAATGTATTGCAGAAAATTTTCCAAATCTTGTGGTGTAAAGTCATTCACAATATCAATGATGCTCTGAGTTCGAATAATCCATATACCTTCATAACGTTGTAATTTTAAAATGATATTTTACTCAATATTATGTATATATTTCTATTTGTTACACAATAAATTTTATTAAGAAATAGTTTAAAAGTATCCGATACATACAAAACAACTGCAACAAACAGTGAAATAAAACCAGAACATTATACATTTTAATTAGAAAAAGTGAACATACTTGAACAAATAATTAACAATGTATATAAGCAAATGTATTTGTTGGATTATAGTTTTGATATGTGTGAAACAATTATTTTATAAAACATGTTATCTGAATTTAAATACATTTTTTAATCCACCTAAAGCACAAGTTTACTTAATTTGTTGTGGTAATATATATATATATATATATAGAGAGAGAGAGAGAGAGAGAGAGAATGAAGAATTATATATATTTATCACAGTAAAACATGTCGAACACAATGGACTTCAACATTGCACTATGAGTTAGGTAGTGTTAAAACAAACATTTAAAGCCAAAATTTCTAAATATGCACACAGTTGTAGAGAATCCTCATATTCCATCAGATTGTCTATGATGTGTGATCTACACAATAATGAAAGCTACCTTTTTAATCATCATCACAATGATTATTATGATTATCATAGAGGACAAGGTTTGATAATCATACTACTTTCGAATACAAAACTTTATCTCACGTTCAACAGTTCACAACATGGAATGAAACCCCATCCAATTTTTTTTGATAACGAAATGGGATATGGACACGCTTATTAGTGTTGGGATAGTATTATCTTTGGCTACGATTTTACAGCATAAGCCCATCGCAAAGTTTGGACGGGCCGGGTCTGAATGAGGATCACGTTCATGGGCGGGACGGGTGGCCCCCGCTGTGACAGTCGTTCGTTCGGGAGGCTAGGGTCGTCATTTTCTTGCGCATGGACTGTGGGCGACGGACGAAGTTGGGATGAATGGATGGATGGCGACGTTATAGACGCACTAGAAACGACGGACGGCACGAGTTCGTCAACGGAGGATGGACGAAGATAGAAACGTGCGTCCAAGTCGGGCGAGGAAGGGCCCCAGCAGGGAGTGGCAAGAGCTCTCGGGGGCGGGTTAGAGATTTCAAGGGTTATCAAGAGCAGGACGAGAAGAGAAGTGGTAAAGGGAGGAAAACAACTAGAGGGGAAGGTCTGCTAAAAATAAACTGTGGACGCACCAGGACGGATGAGCGCCAAACCCTAATTCCGGTCCCTTCAATCGTCAGCCGCGCTGGCGCCTGAAGACTTTGCAGCCTCCTCCCTCCCCTCTTCCCCTGTCTCCGTCCTCTGCTTCGGCCATTCTCTAGCCCCTGCACACCCCGGCGGCATCCCCTCTCCTTCTCCTTCCCCTTCTCTTCACTTCTCCACGGTGCGGTAAGGCGACGCTGCTGCTGCCTCTTTTGCATCGCCCGAAATTCGCACATTCCGAGTGGAGGCCTTGGGAGAGGGCAGGTAGAGACACACCAGATTAGGATCAGTCCATCGCGATTTCGGGAGGTTTTGAGAACAGATTGCGGTGTGCGCTAGTTTGAATCAGAAGGTAGGAGTGTATGAGTGCGTGGAAAATTTTCTGTAGTAAAACCCTGCGGAATCGGTGGTGAGTTTGGATGTGAATCGTCACTGAAAGGTTGATCTTATTGCGATCAGGGAGACCGAAGACTGGTGGGGAGGACTCGAAGGAGTCGTTTGTGGTCGTTCTTGGCTGCAGCTGCATCCGATTGAGCACGATGGCGATGGATACGGGGGTAGGTCAGGCCCTTGATGCCCAAGTTGCTCTGGTGCTGGCAGGCGATGGAGTGGCGCCCCTTGAAGCTCTTGTTGGCCAGCTGATGAATCCCGGGAATGAGCAGCGAGGCCAGGCTGAGCAGCTGTTCAATCACTTGAAACAGCATCATGCAGATGCACTTGTTATGAAGATGATCCATGCCCTCCAGGTTAGACAACCCGTTTTTTCCGCACTTCGATTTATCAACAGTCACGATTCCGTGGCGGGATCATACACAGTTCTAATTGTAACATGTTGATGACCACTTTGTAACATGTTTTTGGACACGCCAGTTTGTGCTAGGTGAAGATGTAACCATGTAGCCGTCGTTTGAATACATGTAAGTGATGTACAAGCTTGGGTAATGTTCCTGTATTCTGGTTTCTAACACTTTCACGAATAATGTATACTCGCGCCATAGCACACACCTGATCCTTTTTCTGGTTTTAAGAGCAGTTACGTTTGAGAATTTAAGTTCGATTTCTGCAATTTAAGCAATCTCACTAAATACATTTACACCAGCTGCACTGTTCTGATTAACTCCTTGGGTTTGGTTTAGTAGCCATGTCGGCTTTGCGAGTTCTTTGAGATTCAAAAGGATTTAGTTACAAACTAGATGGGTGGAATTATGTTTAGACCCATGAACTCAGACTGATGAGACTGCGGGTCTGCTCCCTTGCCATCAATCCTGTTTACTCTATTGGCATATGTCAGGGCTAATCATATTTCACTGTAAATAACTGTATCTCTCTAATTGAATTCATGGGCAGATTACCAAACCCTGTAGAAAGATTTTGTATGACTTAAGTCAACGTATCGCCTGTCACTGTATTGATACTTTTTATTCTCGTAGTCTTCTAACTAACCTACACAGTCGTTAAATTGCTCACCAATGGCTGGCTGTGTATTCAATCCCAGTCCATTATGTTGACGCGAGTTCTACTTTTCATTAACAGGTTTCCCAACAATTGGAAGTCCGTGCGATGGTGGCGATTCTTTTGAGGAAACTTATTACTAAGGACGATGTGTCTCTGTGGCCACAACTTGCACCTGCTTCTCAAACAGCGGTGAAAGGCCAGCTCCTACTTTGTCTCCAAAGAGAGCAAGAAAAAAGCATTTCAAAGAAGCTGTGCGATACTGTTGCAGAACTCGCTGCTGGAATCCTTGAGGAAGGATTGTGGCCAGAGCTGCTTCCCTTCATGTTTCAATGCGTCAGCTCAGATTCCATGCGATTGAGAGAGAGCGCTCTTCTGATGTTCGCCCAACTTGCGCAGTACGTTGGCCCCCAGCTTAGGACTTACTTACCCACCCTTCACAACGTTTTTCAGCAAAATTTGTCTGCACAAACATCGGGCGATGTACGCATTGCAGCCCTTCGGGCCACTACGAACTTTGTCCAAACACTAGAAACTGCTCAAGAGAGGGAACGGTTCCAAGACCTTCTTCCAGGAATGTTGCAGACTTTGTCACTTGCTCTCAACAACCATGAAGAGGCTACTGCACAAGAAGCACTAGAGATGTTCATTGAAGTGGCTGGAGCTGAACCTCGGTTTTTGCGTCGCCAGCTTGGTGAAGTTGTTGGCAACATGTTGCAAATTGCCGAAGCAGAGGAGTTGGAAGAAGGAACTCGACACCTGGCAGTGGAGTTTTTGATCACTTTAGCAGAGGCTAGAGAGCGGGCCCCTGGAATGATGCGAAAATTACCTCAGTATACCAGTAGACTTTTCGCTGCATTGATGAAGATGCTACTAGACATCGAAGACGATCCTCAGTGGTACGTTGCCGATACAGAAGATGAAGACAATGGAGAGACCGCTGATTATGAAGTGGGTCAGGAATGCTTGGACAGGTTGGCCATATCTCTCGGAGGGAACACAGTGCTTCCCGTGGCATCTCAAATTTTGCCTTCCTTTGTCAACGATGCGGACTGGAAGAAGAGGCATGCGGCTCTTATTACTCTTGCTCAAATTGCTGAAGGGTGTGCCAAGGTATGTGTTCGTCACTAATCCGGGGACACCGTATAGTGCAGAGAACTTGGCAAATTGAGGCTTGCGAAAGGGCAAGCTGTTTTCTAATTTAATGACCCTGCTTAGAGTATTCTGGCGGTGGCTTGCAGGTTATGATTAAAAGTTTAGACTCAGTCGTCGGCATGATTTTGAACTCCTTTCGGGATTCACATCCTCGCGTGCGCTGGGCTGCCATAAATGCTATTGGTCAGTTGTCCACTGATCTAGGGCCCGACTTGCAACAAAACTACCATCAGCAAGTACTTCCTGCACTGGTGAATGCAATGGACGATTTCCAAAACCCCCGCGTTCAGGTAATTTGAGTGGTTGCGTTTATCACTCTTGTTTTGACTATTTTGCTGTATCCATTGTTGCTACAGATGATTGCATTTTTCTGGTCTGAGCTGAAGATCCTATTTCATTTTCTACTGTTTTCATCCATTGCTTCTGATTCAAACATGTGGTTGGGTGTTGTTAATGGTTGGAACATGTTTCTGTTAACAGGCACACGCTGCAGCAGCAGTATTAAACTTCAGTGAGAGTTGCACTCCTGAGATCTTGACCCCATACTTGGACGGAGTCATCTCCAAGCTTCTCGTTCTTCTCCAGGTATACAATTGACGACATTATTGGTCCGCTTATGCCGTTTTATCAAGACTATGTAGATGATGGTCCTTAATTTGTGGTATTTAGTGTGAAGATTCTTAGACTTACATTGCTTCCTTAACTTGGAATGATTAATAGTATTGTGAATCGTGAATTGTATCAGAATGGAAAGAGAATGGTTCAAGAAGGGGCTTTGACTGCTCTTGCCTCAGTTGCGGACTCTGCCCAGGTTTGACGCGATAAATTTTCTAAACTTGTCCTAGTTGCATATTTTCAATTACTAATGAAAGTTCTTAACCAACTGGAACTGATTTCTCGTTACGCGCTCTAGCCATGAAAGACGCATACTGGCAGATGAGTAGTATATTAAGTTGTGTTTGCTTAAGACATACCGATGGCCCTTGTTTTCATGCAGGCTCACTTCCAGAAGTATTACAATGCCGTGATGCCTTATCTGAAGACCATTTTGATTGGAGCCAACGACAAGCAAAACCGCATGTTAAGAGCCAAGTCAATGGAGTGCATCAGCTTGGTAGGTATGGCTGTGGGAAAGGACAAATTCAGGGATGATGCAAAGCAGGTTATGGAGGTTCTCATGACTTTGCAGGGTGCTCAAATGGAGGATGACGACCCTACCATTAGTTACATGTTGCAGGTAATTTTTTTCATCTAATCGCTTGTTTATACTTTTATGTGTGTTCTAGCTTCGATACTCCTTGCATTCTCAAGTATGCTCGGAACTAAACCTGGGCTCTTCTTTTAGGCTTGGGCCAGGTTATGCAAGTGCTTGGGTCAAGAGTTTTTGCCCTACATGAGCGTGGTGATGCCACCACTGTTACGATCTGCTCAATTGAAACCTGATGTCACTATTACTGATGCCGATTCTGATGATGAGGGCAACGATTCCGACGATGACAGGTGTGGAATCTAACGCCACGAATGTTTTTAGAGATAACGTACAATTTATTCTTCACCAACTAGTGTGTAGGTCTCGTACTGAGGTCGATAACCTCACTCCTTCTGTTCATGGCATACTATTTTCTAACCTTCATTTTGGAGTGCGGAGTCTCTGATTGGGGCTTTATTGGATATTCAGATTATACAGATATGTAATGTGAATGTGTAATCGGGCTTTGCATTGGTGATCTTTTCTAGAGTTTAGTGGCGCGTGCTAGAACACTCTATGTTCTGATTTGGGTTTAATTTGCCTTATTCTCAAACGGAATGGTCTGATTTCAGCGTGGAGACGATCACTATTGGGGACAAAAAAATTGGCATTCGCACAAGTGTTTTGGAAGAAAAGGCGACTGCATGCAACATGCTCTGTTGTTATGCGGATGAACTGAAAGAGGGTTTCTATCCATGGATTGATCAGGTGCAAGATACTCTTCCTTTTCTTCGCACCTTTGGTTCTTTTCCTGGATCCTTGAATCAGCATATCGTTTATGTATCCGAGCGTACAGCGGTGATTTTAAAACTTTATTCAAATAATAGGTTTTTGAGGAAGTGAGGTGTTCCGATGCCTTTTAAGGTAAATCTAAATTATTTCAGAGTTTTTAATTGCCTCTTGTATTTGCTGGCGCTTTCAGGTTGCTCCTATCCTAGTTCCCCTGTTGAAATTCTACTTTCATGAGGAAGTTCGGAAGGCAGCTGTGTCAGGTTAGTGCTTGGTGCTTTTTATGTCGATGTATGTGGTTTGCATTTTGCGCAACGCAATTCTCATTTGGCTATGGAGGATTCAAAACGTACAGCACATCCGGAACTGACGCTGTTTCGACGTAGTTACGTGTTTTTTTTCACAAGCTTCTCTAGCTCCATGAATTATGTAGTTTTAACTCGTTTGTGCTTATTCAGCCATGCCCGAGCTGCTGCGTTCTGGTAAACTGGCTGTGGAGAAGGGACAAGCAACTGGGCGTGCTGAGACCTATGTGAAACAGCTGGCAGATTACATTATCCCACCTCTTGTAGAGGCTTTGCACAAGGTAAATTTTTCGTTTTGTTACGATCTAATTTTCTCCATAGTGACCATCTCCATACTCTCTTCTTTTTGGTAATTGTTTTGGAAGCAGTTCGATATGGTGATCTGATCTGGGCTATTGGGGACAGGAACCGGAGACGGAAATTTGTTCCAGTATGTTGGATTCTCTGAACGAGTGCATTCAGGTCAACAATCACTTTCACTCTGTTTGTTTTAGACCATGTATTGTCGCTTAAGTTACACCTTACTGGATATTAACTTGACGATGTTGGTCTAAACACCTACAGATCGCAGGACCGTTGCTTGATGCAAATCAAATCAAGTCAATGGTTGAACAGTTTAAGCAGGTCATTACGGCAAGTGTCACTCGCAAAAGGGAGCGAGCTGAGAGAACTCAAACTGAAGATTTTGATGCTGAAGAAGGGGAACTTCTTGAGGAAGAAAACGAGCAAGAAGAAGAGGTTTTCGAACAGGTGTGCACCTCGAAGTACTAATTTGTTTTTGATTTTTTTGTAGTTTTTAAATTCAAGTTATTATGTTTCTGTATACGTTATGTATTTTTTTTTACTATGTTTTACTTTGCAGGTGGGAGAGTGTCTGGGATCTTTAATCAAAACCTTCAAAACAGCCTTCTTGCCCTACTTCGAGGAATTGATTCCATACATCAAACCCATGCTGGTGCGTCCTCCTGTCCTGTGAAGTTCTTAATTTTTAATTTATTTTGCTTATTTACAATGGTGTATTACATTTTCCTTCATTATCGAAATACTTGCTACAGACTGTCCTTTTGTCAACTTGATTGTCGAGCGTTTAAGTTATCATTGATTATTACTCTGTGTAGGGTAAAGAACGCACTCCTGACGAAAGAAGAGTTGCCATTTGCGTTTTCGATGATGTTGCTGAGCAATGTGGCGACGCTGCGATTAAGTAAGCACTTTCATTGTCGCAAGTATTCACTCAAAATTCACTGATTACATTCTGAGGGTTGCGTCTTGGTAACTCACAAAAATTGAAATGCTGAGGTTATTGGCAGCAGGATTATAAAGCGATCCAAAACTATGATCAATTTCGCCGTGCTATGAATTTAGTATAGTGGAACGATGACTACTGCTGGTTACAAAGTTATGTTTATTTTATTACACGCGATCGGTATAGATCTAATTCGCAAAGCCAGTGGTATTTCTCGCTGATTCTTGGTCTTTGTTATTTTCAGATATTATAGCTTATTTCTACCATCACTGTTGGAAGCTTGCAACGACGCCAGTGCTGATGTTCGACAGGTAGGTTTTTTACACGCTTGATTCCTCTAGTCTGTATTTTGGATCGTATCATGACCTGCACAGGTAGATGTGCATTTATAATAGCGTCGCAGTCGACTTGCATAGTCGTGTCGTCTTAATCTTGATGCTCGATGATAAAATAACCGTGATATTTATAACAATTTTGGTTTGAATATTCAAAATGGTCAATATTGCAGGCATCAGTATACGGTATTGGAGTATGTGCTGAATTTGGTGGAGATGCATTCAAGCCATTAGTAGGAGGTTGGTTTTCCAAGTGGGATGTTATATTCTTTTTTGTTAATTAATGCTCATTATTTTCTTGACGCTTATGGTTGTTCTTGCACTTTTACTGGAGTAATCAATTTTCATGTGGTACGGCAACTTTGGGTTACACATCTGCATTTTTAGGAGTAAATATTTTGTTTGCAGAAAAATTTAAGATAATTCTGGCTTGTTGCGGCAGATGCTCTCGCAAGACTTAATGCTACTATCAGTCAACCCACCTCACGCTCGACAGAGAACATCATGGCAACTGATAACGCTGTGTCCGCACTTGGCAAGATTTGCGAGCACCAAAGAGACAGCATTGATGGCTCTACAGTAAGATTCTTATGTTTAACTTACAATTATAGCAATTACATCAGATGCCTTGCGTTTTTATTTTTATTCATTCAAATGTTCTCGCTCGTAAAAACTTCCTCTACAATCACATGTGAGTCGTAAATATCGTCTAATACTTGCCCGAGTTTTTGTATTTGCAGGTTGTGCCAGCTTGGCTAGGATGTTTGCCACTGAAAGGCGATCTTGTGGAGGCCAAGATTGTACACGAGCAGCTTTGCAAGATGGTTGAGAGGTGGGCTATGTCCTTTCATAGGATCTATATGAGAACGGAAAGATGTGTTATTCCGCAGTACTTACCCACCTGTTATGATCATCCCTAACAATTCTATTCTCTCAGGTCCGATCCGCTTCTTCTGGGTCCTAACAATCAGTATCTCTCCAAGATCATCTCCGTTTTTGCTGAGGTATAGTATTTTCAGATCTCCAATTTTTTGTTATTTCTGAAAGCCGCTGGTTTTTTAACTGTTGATTCTCGTTCCATCCTGTACTGAGGAAGCTCTTCCAGTCGTGTTGGACATTACTCTCTCCTCTCGCTTTTTTCAATCATCGTTTCATGCAGGTATTGAGTGCTGGAACTGAACTAGTCACCGAGCAAACTGCCGCGCGTATGGTTGGTTTATTGAGGCAACTGAAGCAAACTCTTCATCCTGATGCGCTAGCGGCCACCTGGTCTGTCCTAGACCCTCAACAGCAGTCAACGTTGCAGTCAATTTTGGGTGCTCCATGATCGCAAGAAGTTAAATTTAGTTCAAGTTCCCTTTCAAGACAAATTCATCATTGGATATTTATAGTTGTATGGGTTGCCCTAAATTTTTGGTCCCGAGAAATCTTTCCTTAGTTCGATTGCTGAGGTGCCAAGACAATGGTTCGTCATTTGGGTTGTAGTGGAGCTATTGTAGATTTTCTACATGGATTGAACGAGGGAACATCAAAGTCGGTGGATTTAGAGATCACGCAGAAAACTACTGGTGCGAATGGGAAATTTACCGAGCAGAAGTTAACCATTGTGAGCGCCTGATTTAGGATTTACACCCTGTTATCATTTGTCACAACTGTGCTTTGGCACAATACACCGTCCCTCAGATTCTAACACGAATCCTTCCATATTTTTATTTTGTTTTTGTCTACACCCATCTGGAAAGTATCAAGGCAAATATCGATCATTGTGTAGTTTAACAGATAACTAACTTCATTTTGAGCGCTTTTAAGTTGGGATACCATTTATGAGGATGCCGTATGTTACAATATGCATATCGTGAACACACTGTGGTAGCCGTATAGGAGCTATATATTAAATATGAAAGGCGCAAATAAAATAAAATATTAAATAATGTTTTCTGAAATGACTTATCAGTTATGACTCTAGTTAAATGCCAATTTAGAATCACCTTGTTTGCAGGTTTCTATGGTGGGCAATGGATTAAGATAGTTCGTCAATTACTGTGTTTGCTACTCTTACACTTGCATTTTAGAATTCCAAAGTTTTTTTTTGTCTGTGGTGTTTCCATAAATGTATTGAGTTACTGGTCAAACACGTATTGTCAATGAATTCTATTTTCGAAATCTAATGCAGAATGTCGGATTTAGAATGCAACACTATAATAGTGAATTTGGTTCAGATCGAAGCTGAATCTTCATTATGAGTCCACCGAGCAAGTTGCTAGATTGTGGATACATGCTGTAGTCTCTTGGTCTTGGGGTCTTGGAGTGAAGTTTTTTAGCTTCTTTTCATTCTCTTCATAATTTTTTGTGACTTTTTACTATATTCTCTTAATTTTAAGTATGCTTGACTTGAGCCCTCTTTGGTTGTTGCTATTTGTCCTATTCAGATATCAAGTTTGATTTAGTTGACTCTATTAGATGACAACTTAACTAAGTTGGGTCTTCTAGACTTTGTTCAATTGGATGAATACAGCTATGAATACTATGTCCCTTCCACTCCATGTTTTGCCCCAAGACTTGTAGGATGAAGTTTCATTTTCTTTTGTGTTCTTTTGGTACATTTGACTTGATTCTTCTACCTTTGTCTCAAATATTTGTATTATTTTATGTATATTCTCTCATAGAGTTAAATTGGATCTTTGTTAAATGATCAATTGTGCTCTGATCATTCAATCAATTTGTTTTTTTTTTGGCAATAATAGGGTCTTTTCAAAAGGTCAAAATTTTTGGTATAATATTTTCATCTACTCAAGAAGGCCTTAATTTGTTGCTTGTTGCTTGATTTGATGGAGAGAATTAGCATTTAGTACTTTTATCTTAGTTTAGAATTGACTAAATTGCCTTCTCTCTCTTGGATGTAATATATTCTTTCTTTATCTTGATTTATATAACATCTTATTTAAAAATTTAATTTATGTTTCAACTTTTCTATTTAAACACAAAATTAGTTCTATTCTTCACTACATTTGAATTGTCATGATTGCTACTATTTTTCAATTTCTCAATTCAAACATTACTATTTAACCAAACTTCTTTTCTAAATCAAAAGTTTTATTTACTTATTTATTCATTTTTTTTACACTCTTTTGTTATAGCTCCTTGACATAACTATATTTACCTTATAACTTCTAATTTTTTTCTTTATTAATTATAAAATCATTCATAATACAAAACTCCCTTGAGTTCTTGTAATTAATTTAATCCATCTCTCATCCTCCTTTCTTTGTCTTCCATTTCCTGTTCTGACTTTATCATCCCTATTCTTGTTTCCTATCCCATATTCATGTTCTTGTTTCTTATTCTATGTTCATATTTTTATTTCTTGTTTCTTGTCACCATTCTTATTTCCTATTCTCCATCCATCTTCTTATTTCTATCCCCTTTCTTTATTCTTATTTCTTATTCCTTGTCCTTGTTCTTGTTTCCAATCCCTGATACCCATTCTTATTTCTTATTTCCTATTCTAGTTCTTGTTTCCTATCATCTTTTCTTATTCTTGTTCTTTATTCCTTGTTGTCATTCTTGTTCTTTATCCCTCCTTGTCACTCTTATTTTCTATCTCCTATTTCCATTCTTATTTTTCATCCTCTGTTTCTTATTTTTATTTTGTATTCTATGTTTTCATTCTTATTTCCTATTCCTTGTCCCTATTCTTTCCTATCCCTTGTCCTCGTTCTTGTTCCTTATCCATTATTGATGTTCTTATTCCTAGCCCCTTGTCCCTCTTTTTGTTCCTTATCATTAAGAATGACAACAATAACTTTGAACAAATGTGTTTTTTTATAAAATTATTTTGTAACTAGAAAATTGTTAATGTTGTATTGCAATCTTTTGATTGCAATTAAAAAAATGATATATCTTATTTTAATTTAAATATTATTGGATTATTGGATTGTGTTTTGTTTATTTGGCAAATCTAAAAAATTGAGTTAAATTTTGAAATGTGTAAGTCTTTTGGAATAGATATCATATGTAAAATCAATCGTTGAAGGCTTTTGGTTTAGGATTGGTTTTCCAAGTAAGAAATAGGAATTGTTTTGAAAGTTGTATATCATTTTCTATAAAATAGGAATGGAAATAGAGATAAGGGGTAGAGATGGAAGACATGATCTAAGAACAAGAGACTAGGAATAGGAATTAATAAAGAAGGAGAGAGGAGAGGAGGTCAAGGGCTGAAGACAAGGGGTGGAGGATAGACTAAATAAATGATGAGAATCCAAGGTGTTGCATTAATAACATGGAGTTGTTTCTTTAGCAACTTTATATTTTTTAAAAAATTATTCAAGAACCTTTTTATAAATTTTATTTTTTAATCACTTATTATTATCTAAAGATATTTAAATCAATTAATAAAGTATTTGTATAAAAATTGAACAATCATGATAGTTATATTTATTTTTAATACCTTTGCTTTAATCTATTTGATAGTATAGTCTATAAACACCAAGAAATTTTAATTTACTATTTAATATTTTTCACTTTTAATAGATCTAATAAAATAAAAAATCTATCAATTTTTTTTGCATTCAATTTAATATATTTATAGAATAATCTAAAGTTATATTCTATAAAAAATAGTTGTTAATTTTAAATTCTTGACATTTTTGGAAGCACAACATTAGATTCTTGTTAACCTTGGATATCATGCTAGTTGGATTCGGTTAATTTAATAATTAATATCTAAATTTATAAAAATAATATATAAACTAGATCAGAGGTCTAATGAATAGTTTATATAACAAAAAATTAATAATAAATTCATGTAGATTTTTTGGTTGAAATTAATAATTTCTTTTATTGTTTCTTTCAATAAAAAAAATCCAAAAGTGATTATTAAACATATTTCTAAAATAAAAAAATCTTAAAGATAATAAAATTAAAACCTAGAATATAGATATTTTCTAAAAGATAAATCTATTAATAATAATAATATCTTTAGTTTTTTTAATATTTTTACTATTGATTTTTATTTATCAAAATTTATAATAATTTAATCAAGCATATATATAAAAAAAGATGATTTTTGTCAACTTAAAATATAAAAATATACATCTATTAAAATACTATATTTTAAAGAAATTATATAATTTTATATCTTTTAAAATTATTTTATAAATTTTTTTATTCAAAATATAATCTATGAACTTAAAAAAATATTTTAAAAAATAAATCATTTTCTTGTAACACAAAGGATAGTTTAGTATGTAGAAATTAAATTTAAGAATGTAAATCATTGATTTTAAGATGTAATGATATTTCGTAAAATGTTTTTAAAAATAATTATTTTAATCTTTTCGAAAATTTTCTGTAAAAAAAAATCTTATTAAATTGTCAAATTTGTAAGACAAAAGATAAAAAAACTAAAAACAAGAAAATATATTATAATATTAAAAACAAGACTATAAACGAAAAAATACTTAAATTTTTGTTAAAATTATGTTAACATACTATATATATATATATATATATATATATATCTATCTTCCATTTCACTTTCTACTTATATGAATTCTTCCTTGCTTAACTTTAAGTGAGATAACTTAAAGTTAGTTTCAAGTGGGATATAGATGGACTTGTATTCTTTTACATTTAAGAGTTTTGACACCTTTTTAATGCACTTGCCTTAACTCACACCAATCATGCATTAGATAAGATCTTCTATAAGTGCAACTCTTAGAGAATTATTTAATTTTTTTAGGTCATTTATTTCATTTTTCTTTTGTAGTTTTGTCTTCACCTATTTTATTTTATAAATAGTAGTTGCTTAAAATATCAAATTATTGATATATATAATTGAAATTAATAAACACTCTCTTGATAGCATCACATATACAAAAGACCTATATTATTCCTTACGAATTATTTTATTACAAAGAATGTATCAATACATAGATATTATGCTCATGGTAATTATAAGCACTCACATGAGGATTTCTTAACTTGTATATAAGATGTTCTTTGCCTTGTTGTAAAAATCCATGAGATTGGTCAAAAGATATGGCTTCTTTCAATTTAAAAATAAATAAAAATGCCATTTGTACATCTCTTTGATGCATTTTCAAATTCATTAATGCCTTGATTTTAAGAATAGTCCTAATGTTGGTGAATTTAGCAACATGTACAAATGTCTCATTGAAATCAACATTAAATTATTGTAAGTAATTTTTGACCACTAATCTAGTATTAAATCTCACTTACATCTATTATATCTTATCTAATACAAATCTCCCACTTGCAATTAATACTTGTATAATTCAAAGATATAGAGGTAATTTCAATGTATCTTTATTTATGATAGATTGAATTAAAGATCCTTCATATAATTTATAGTAAAATGGTTAAGAAAATAATACCAAATACTAAATAAGTCTTTTTTTAATTTTTTAAAAATTAGCAAATAATGCTACTTCTATTTTGTTTATATTTTGAAATTGATAATGGATAAATTTCTTTTTTGTAGGGCTATGGCCATTGTATCTTTTTATTTGATACTTTTACAAAGCATATATCTATACATAATATATAAATATATAATTTATAATTAATTATTTTTAATATAAAAATTAAAAATATCTATTTTTAAAGAAATAAATAATATTCTATATAATTGAATTCTTGCATGATATAACTATGTTATATAAGATAAATTATATTTTTACAAAATATAAACTAAAATA